GGTTTTCACGTCCATACCCCTCCCCACTCCTTCTGAGACTGAAGCAAGGGAGGGGTCCCAGGCTTGAACTAGAATGTGTCTGAGCCGGTGTCCCAAGTTACATTTTGTCTGTTTTTGGATAATCCATGGATTTCTCGTCAAGCTTGGATTGGCCTAGTTGTGTCTCTAAAGGAATGTGCCTTCCACTGATGTCAAGCACCGAGTTAGTTTTGTGAGACTGATTTCAGCAGGATCTGGTGTCCTTGGTTCTGTTTCAAGAAACACCCAGAATACACAGTTCATTTGGCTCCGCCCTCCCTGCCTTCCCCTTTCCCCTTCTATCTTAGCACCAAGATGCATGCTTTTGCCACAGACACACCTGAGTATTCTGAGAGCCTGGACTTCAGAACGTGGTCTTGGGACCAGAATGTCTACTACCAGAGCTGACAGGTTATTTCTCTGCCGGTGAAATGAGCCAATTCAGACCAGATTAAATCATATTAAAGGCAGGTTTATTGGGAAGCTGCTCTCTGGGGAGTTCACTGGCCCCAAGGATTGAGGGCAGGGGAGTGGCCATGGGGGCAGGGGATGAGGGAGAGAAAGAGAGAAAGGGTTTGAAGAGAAGGAGAAGAAAAGGAAGGAAAGACCAAAATGTCTGGATTATATAGGGAAGAGCTTCTGGGAGGAGGGGCAGCCCAACCCCTGGGCTGGGAAGTTCAGGGTTGGGGGCAGGGTAGGCCAGGTAGGGAGTGAGGGGTGCTGGGAGAATCTAGAGGCTAGGTCTGCTTTGATATGTTAAGTATGCACTTCAGTCCCTTGTCCCATCAAAACCAAAGGAGCATGTGACCTCTGTCACTGTGTCTTCGGAGGAGTGAGGTGGCCACTCTGAGTCTGTTTTCTTGTCTTCTCCACCAGGCTGTGCAAGGATAAGTGTGTCACCCTGAGTGACACTCCCCCAGACTGGAGCTGAAGACTGTAGATACATCCGTGCTCCCTGGTTTTCCAGACCCAAGATAGCGACTTGAGTCTGTTTTCAGTTTTAATGAAGTTGCAAAAAAACATAAAGACAGTTGTATTCTTCAACAGTGACCTGATTTTTCCTGGCACTGGCATTGGAATATTGCAGATGAGATTAAATATCACACTTTTAAAGAACGTTTCTGTCTTTCCAGCTGGGGGCAATGATGCACACCTGTAAATCCAATGCAACGCTTGGAAACTGTTGCCGTTAGTGGGATTTCGAATTGTCAAGGAAACACACTTCTGGGTGTGTCTGCAAGGATGATTCCGATTCCAGAAGGGTTTAACTGAAGAAGACAGACCTATCTTCAATAAAGCTGGCAGGGTTCTGTGGACTGAGAGCCTGGACTGAATTAAAAAGAGGAAGTGAAATGCCAGCGGGCATCTGTCCCTGCTTCCTGACTGTGGGCACAGTGTGACCAGCCACCACATGTGCCTGTGCCCATAACATAGCCTCCATGACAGGACTGTACCTGCCTTTCAAATAACCCAGAAAGCTTTCTTCTATTCTTTTGAAAGATGTTATTGGTAAAGGCAGAAGGATTGTGAGGTAAAAGTTGGCATGGCAACCATAAGCCCATGCCTCTGTATACACAAAGAAAATAATTTTCGTTTTGGGCTGTGCACGGTGGTACATACCTGTAATCCCCACCCTTAGAAGGCTGAGGCAGGAGGATGGAGAGTTTGGGGTCAGCCTCAGCTGCATAGTAAGACTCTACCACACAAAAGGGAAAAAATCAGAAAAGAAGATAAGACGTCATGTATTCGTCTTGTATCATCTGTGGGATGCTTTGACTTAAGAAAATCTTAACAAAAGATTAACTTGCCAAGTCCCCACTATACAGATGAGATGACTGTCATTCAGGTCTAGCAGCGGAGCAGAACACTTCATCTCCAAGGCCCATGTTTCCATCAGCCACAGAAGATCCTCTCCCCCTCCCCCGTGGGCACAGACATCATAACAGGGCCCAGATTGAGCCAAACAAGACAGAAGGGAACAGGGGCAGCCTTCCATTGGACTTCTTAATTCCTCTACTATGCACCTGACATCCCAAAGATGATCTTATCACTATAAAACATATATATGATCAGGTTGATTAAGGACGGGAAGTTGGTTTCCTGGTAAATATTATTGTGAAAGACACTCATTTACATATTTTGCTAATCATCTTCCTGCAGGAGGCCTGTCTCTTCCTCAAGCGGAGGCTTCTGCACATGAGAGTTCAGCTGAGGAGACACCTGATCTAAGCCTCCAGGTCTGACGCTGCTGGTTGGGAACAGCCATGGGAGCTTTCTCACTGCCAGTCTGAGGTTCCTGAGAGGAGGAAGGAGTGGCTTGGATCTCAAATTTTCCTGAGGATTTGCTTGGGTGGTTCGCTGACTCATTCAAAATCCACCAAGCTTATTACTGCATAATTAACATCTTTAAATAATGAGGGAGAAATCATTGAAATGGCTTTCATCCTTAATTGCATATAATTCTTAGTATTCCTGATACTCCTTTGGGTGGGGGTGGGGCTAAGGAAAAAATGAGAGCGCTGTCCCTGCCAACAATAGTGAATGCTAGAGGCAAAGTATGTACGTTTGCTGAGAAATCTAGAGGCTATGTGGAGTGACTGGTCTATCTCAGTTAGGTTGGGTAAGTGTCATCTCTGCCATGTATGCTGGCAACAGAATCACCTGACAATATATCTCATCTTTTGTGAACACACAGCTGTCTATACATAGCATCCAATGGATGCTCATAACTGTTAAATTGATCACAGTGTGAAAACTTGAAATCTCAGAACCCGGACTTGTCTACCTAACAGTGATGTTTGTAGTAAACCATCCATCCGCCTGTCCTGACATAGTGTCTAGTTGATGGGGAAGACTTTGTTTGGAAAAAGAAAGACTAGTCAACAAAAGCAATTTAAGGAAAGCTTGTGTCTGTTTTGTTTCTCACAGAGGGTAGGCTAAGCCATGACCACAGGGCCATGAAATGACTGGTCACAATGAATGATGGGTATGGTTATGAAGCCCAGAGCTGAATGCTGATGCTTAGCCTGCTCTTTTCCCTTGATCTCCAGTCCAGTGTGCCCTGACCATGATATGGTATCCCTCACTTTAAGTAAGGTTTGTTCCACTTTAGTTTAACCTCTCTAGAGACCCCCTCACAGCCATGCCCAGAAGTGTGTTTTCTAGGTGGCGCTAAGTGCAGTCAAATTGGTAACAGAAGAGTCATACTGTTCATGGGGTCTGAACTAGGATAAAAGACAACTGGAACCTTAAAAATAAGGCAGCTAATGCACACTCCCCCAAAGATGGGCGCAGTGCAGTAACATACTCCAGTAACTGTTAGGTAAATGCAAGTTCTCCTTTAACACTCAAGACAGTCGTGTTGAATGGAACTTGGGTCTTAAGTTGCTCTGCTGTGGATCAGGATAATCTGATGTCCACTGTGAGTGAGGGTCTTAGAGGGGTCATCTGGACATTTTTGAAATACAGCTTTTCAGAATAAGAGAATCTCTCAAGCCAGAAGCCACACCTTGTCTGTTTCCATTTGACCCTATCAGTTCTACAGCTTGCTCTGTGGATGTAGTGTCACCCCTCCCCAAGATCCATTTTCCCTCATCTCTAATATTATGATACATTTTTTTAGGATTGTTTAGGGATGCTGATGGGAGAGTAAACAAACTTCAAACAATCCATAACAGAGCTGGAGAGATGGCTGAGTCAGTGGATTGCTTGCAATATGAGTGTGGGAACCTAAGGTTCAGTCTCTAGAATACACATGAACAAGCCAGGGGTGAGGCAGTGCGTGTATTCCCAGCACTGGGGAGGCAGAGACAGGTGAGTTGCTGAGAGTCTGTAGCCATTCTAGGACACTTGTCAGGTCCCAGGTCAGTAAGAGACCTAGTCTCAAAAGTAGACAGTGTCTAAAGCAGTGGTTCTCAATCTTCCTAATGCTCTACCCCTTTAATACAATGTCTTAGGTTGTGGTGACCTTCAACCACAAAATTATTTTATTGCTCCTTCACGACTGTAAATTTGCTACTGTTATGAATCACAAAGTAAATATCTGATATGCAGGATGTCTGAAACATGACTCTCCCCCAAAGGGGTCGTGGCCGACGTGTTCAGAAACCATCCTCTAAGGAATGAAACCCATACCTTAACTTACACCCCACCCACCACCCAACTACACACAGACACATACACAAGATTGACAGTAGACGTTTTAAAATCCATTCGTTGACATATTTTGAAAATGGGAGAATCAAAGTAGACTAGGTTAAATCTATAAACAAGAAAAGATATTCAGATATTAGAAAGTAGGCTGGAGGGCTGGAGAGATGGCTCAGTGGTTAAGAGCACTGACTACTCTTCCTGAGGTCCTGAATTCAATTCCCAGTAACCACATGGTGGCTCACAACCATCTGTAATGGGATCTGATGTACTTACTCTTCTGGTGTGTCTGAAGACAGCTACAGTGTACTCACATAAAATAAATAAATAAACCTTTTTTTTTTTTTAAAGATAGAGGTCTGCTATGGTGGCTCAGCAGTTAAGACCACATACTGTTCTCACAGAGGACATGGGTTGAGTTTCCAGAATCCACAAACAGTCACCCACCTGTAACTATAGCTCCGGCAGGCCCTCCGTAAACACCCACACACGCGCAACACCACACACACAGACACACACCCATAAATAAAACTAAAACAGTTATAAAAAGCCAGATTCCTGCAGAAAAGGAGTGTGCAGAGAGCAAAGGGCTATGTTCTCACCATGAAGGAGATTTTTTTTGTTGCTTTGCTAATGCTTTAGAACAGCTAACATGGGGACCTATCGGTCATGAAGAAAGGCGTCCCTGCCTAGCAGCTTACTTGAGCTTCAGTGTAAGTATATTTTGTCAGACTCCATCCCACCTGTGTCTGTCAGTTTCTCTTGCCTCCTCCCCATGACATTCTGGCTCAGGTTTCTGCCAAACACTCGAAGCCAGCTACTAATAACAGCTCAGTGAGCTTCGCATCCACGGAGAGCAGATGGTGTTTTTGAAAGGAAGGGCGGCCATTCCCGTGACTTTGGACTTGGCTCCGTTGAACCCCTGAACGGTAAGTGTTGGGTTTATATTTTTAAGTGGTGTTGACACAGGGAGAGGTTAGCGAAACTTTTGTTTGCCTCTCATAGGAAATGATGAAGGAATAGAAGTCGCTGACTCCCAGAACCCGTTTCCACTGTCTGCATTTCAACATCTCTCTAAGTTTTATGAGGCTGATGATAAGGGAGATTAATGAATCAGAACCCTATTCCTTTCCTTTCAGTTTTGGCTCACGACCGGAGGAGCAGGTGATTAATAACGCTGGATATAAATTGCTTGGCCAAGCCATGGGGCTTCAGCTTGACATATCTCCCTGTGTTTTTTCTCTAGATAGAATCCCAGTGTTTTCAAGGGCAGTTTTTACTTACAGGGACCCATGTGAGAGAGCTGGAGGAGGCATGGTGCCCTGTTGTTATCTCCTGTTCTGGGTTTGGGTCAGAGAGACCTGTTGCTTACTAGATTTATAACCAACGGCTCTGTCTCTGCAGCCTCTTTGTGCTGGTCACTTCTCAGAGGCTCGAGAAGTAGGTCACTGTGTTTTCTGTCTGGCAAGGGAGGACCCTGGAATTCAGAGAGCCAGATGCCGTGCCCAGTCCTCCTGGGCAGAACTGACACCTGATATCCCAGTCCTTCAGGGCCATATGCTAGCATAGCTCTCTGCTTGGGTTGTAGGAGTCTCATTCCTGGGCATGTGTACACTTCTAGATAGAAACTTTTTTGTTCGTTTTGTTTTGCGAGTCAGGGTTTCTCTGCGTAGCCCTGGCTCTCCTGGAACTCAGTCTGTAGACCGGGCTGGCCTCAAACTCACAGCAATGCAACTACCTCTGCCTCCTGAGCGCTGGAAGGGACTAAAACTATGTGCCACCACCGCCCAGCATAGGAATAATCTTAACAGAGGCATTAGAGTGAATCCCAGTGACACAGATGAGGGCTGGGTAAGAGTAGTGGTAAAACTGTACACAGGGACTCAGCCCCTTTGCCCCTCAGTTTCTTCATTTGTGAAATGATTTATTACCTATCTTGCAGGGGGTTGGGTATTTGGCAATAATGTATATAAGCAGCTCTGAGTACCGACAGCAATTTTAATGTTGTCTACAAAAAATCCATCAGTCAACGGATTTAATCTCCAGAATCATCCACCATTTCCAATTGGATTGCAGAGCCTGCAAGCACTATGCTTGATAGGGAATATTAGTCTGAAAAACGAGCTCCTATGGAACTGTCCCACATTTGAAGTCTTTAAGGTCTTTGTTTTCAGAATGGTGCATGCCGCCGCTGCGGGTGAACTGGAAGGTGCTTGTACCGGCTGGTTTTGTGTGTCAACTTGACACAAGCTGGAGTTATCACAGAGAAAGGAGCCTCCCTTGAGGAAATGCCTCCATGAGATCCAGCTGTAAGGCATTTTCTCAATTAGTGATCAAGGGTGGGAGGGCCCTTTGTGGGTGGTGCCATCCCTAGGCTGGTGGTCATGGGTTCTATAAGAAAGCAAGCTGAGCAAGCCAGGGGAAGCAAGCCAGTATGCAGCACACCTCATGGCTCCTACATCAGCTCTTGCTTCCTGACCTGCTTGAGTTCCAGTCTTGACTTCCTTTGATGATGAACAGCCATGTGGAAGTATAAGCTGAATAAACCCTTTCCTCCCCAACTTGCTTCTTGGTCATGATATTTTGTGCAGGAATAGAAACCCTAAGACAGTGCTATCTTGCTCACCACCCAAGACTTAAGGGTACAGCTAGGATCTGTGATGATGGGGTGGCCCCACCCTTAAGCCTCCCACTCTGGTATAACCAGCACCCCCCTCTTTCCCTTTGTTGTGCCCTTCTCTGATCTATGCTTACACAGAATAGAAAGGAAGGTTGTCAGAAAACACCTGCTTTCCACAGTGACTCTGGGACTCTAGGGGCGAGGATGGGGTCTGTGTTTTCCTCTATAAGCCTGTACTGTGCAAAGGTGTATTGAATATCTGCTGGGTACAGCCTTGGTCCAAGACCAGAACAGCCCATAAGTCATTCATGTGGCAGGAGAAAATGCTTATTTTATGAGTAACTTGTATAAGAGAATGGGCTTCTCGATGATTCAGAACTTTTGGGGGACCCCAACCTGAGTATCGTAATCTTCATAATGGCTTACTGAGCTTAGAAGAGTGACTTAAAGATAAACCTTGCTGGGTTAGGGCGATGGTGGCACAGTGCTTGGTGCACAGGCATGGGACCCTGGGTTGAGATCTCCAGCATCCACAGAAAACCTGAGTGCAGGGGCTGAAGAGATGGCTCAGTGGTTAAGATCACTTGCGGCTCTTCTGGAAGACCCAGGTTCAGTTCCTGGTACCCACATGGTGGCTCACAACCATCTTTAATTTCAGTTCCAGGAATCCAATGTGCTCTTCTGGCTTCCATGGACACTAAGCATGCACTTGGTCCACAGACATACATGTAGACAGAACACACAGCACACATGTGTATATGTGTATATATGCATACATGCATGTGTGTGTATATGCATGTATATATGCATGTATGTATATATGTATATATCCATTCATGTATATATGTATGTATGCATATATGCACATATATATGTACATACATTTTTTAAAATTAAAATTTCATGGTGGGGCATGTCTGTAACCATGGTGATCAGAGAGCCTGTGTTGAGCAGCAGATCCCCAGAGTTCACAGGCCATCCACACCAGGCAATCAGTGAGTTCTGGGCTCAGTGAGAGACTTTATTTCCAGAATAAACCCAGGTGGAGAGTGATAGAGGAAAACCAGACACCTGATGTCAACATCTGGCTTCCATATATACATGCACACATATGTATGAATACATGTACATACATGTGGATACACACATGTATGCATACACATATACACGCATAAGTGCATACATGCACACATAGGTATGAATACATGTACATACATGTGGATACACACATGTATACATACACATATACACACATAAATGCATACATGCACACATATGCATGCACGTTGGTACATGTGCACAAACCATGCACGTATACATACCCCCCCATATACATACACACAAAGATACACCTCGCCATCCCTTTAGCCACCAAAATAATTGCTGCCAGTCTCTCTCGTGCCTTCTCTGAAGGAAGCCATAGTCTCATTTAACCATGAACTGGCTTTCTCCCACCAGGCTTCCTGCGTTCTTAACTAAACTTGCCTTCAGAGAACACCCAGAAGCTCTCAGAAATTATACATATGCTGAAACGCGTTTGACACCAGCAGCGGTGGCTCTCAACCTTCCCAGGGCTGTGACCCTTTAATACAGTTCCTCATTTTATGGTGACCCCCCCCCCATGACTGCTACTTCATAACTGTAATTTTGCCACTGTTATGAATCATAATGTAAATATCCGTGTTTTCCAGTGGCCTCAGGCAATCCCTGGGAAGGGATCATTTAACCCTCAAAGGGGTCGTGACCGACAGGTTGAGAACCACTGACCTCATGCTATTACCAAATGCTTTTCCATACTCAACTTCAAGGATTCTCCACTCCACAGATATTTGTTGTGGTAATATTTTAAAAATGGCAGCACCCGATCTGTCTTGTGTTACAGAGCCGCCATGTTCCAGACTAGCCTAGGAGTGGAGGTGGCATACTGCCACCGCTCAGCTCAGGCCATCTGCTCGGACGACCAGAGACACCAGCCCTGCCAGCTATGAGATGCCAGTGTGGGAGATGGCTCTGTCAATCTTCCACACTGTCTCCACAAAACTGGGCTGTGCCCAGACCATCCCGCCATCCACATGGGCTCAGTACAAATGAGACTCCTAATGCTTAGATTATCCAAAGGCTTTATGAGTTTGGTAATGCTCAATATCAAGATGCCCACACAATCAGAGGTGTAACTCAATACCCAGCCTAGATATACCAACTACCTTTGACTGCTAGAGACTGGCACACATCTGCTGCCATGTTCCTCTCTCTCTCTTGTCTCTCCCTTCTCTTCTTTCTCCTCTTCCTCTCCTTACTCCTCCCACCTTAGCTCCTCCCAACTTGTGGGAAAAATATCCCGCTATATCCAACCCCCCCATTCCCAATCCAGGAATGACACTCATTTGAGCAGGTAAGTTCTGCATAGGACACCTCCATGGCCTCTACCATCCGGTCCATTCAAGTTCCCATTTCTCTTCCTTCAACTCATCTGAAGGATAGTGGTTGTGAGCTGTTGCATGTTGGGGCTTTCTTGCCAAGCCTGATACAAAGAGTATCCAGCCAAAGCACTGGGCATTTTGCTAGGCCTTGTAAGAGACTTTTCTCTGTGTCAACCATGGAAGAGGTAGAAGCTTAGTGGATGGTAACACTTTGGGCATTTGGATTGAAGGATGTCCCTAGTACCAGCTCACCCATGCTTATCTAATTTAAGGGTCAATGTATAGCTTATTTAGTGGTGAGAACACGGTAACTAAAACCCCTAGCCTTCAGGAGCCCCAGGAGTAGATGAGGAGGAGGAGGATGCTTTTTTTAAAAAAAAAAGATTTTATTTATTATATATATATGATGAGTACACTGTAGCTGTCTTCAGACACATCAGAAGAGTACATCAGATCCCATTACAGATGGTTGTGAGTCACCATGTGGTCTCTGGGAATTGAACTCGGGACCTCTGGAAGAGCAGACAGTGCTCTTAACTGCTGAGCCATCTCTCTAGCCCAAGAGGACAAATTTTGTTCATGAGAACAAATCCGTGGTTCATTTTAGAGCCAGGAAGCTGGCTTTTGAGCGGCTGAGGCATGCGTAGCCATGGATGGGTGGGAAGCCATAGCTGTGTGGGACATGGCGGGAACATGAGAAGAAACAGAGGACTAGGTGGAGTAGGGGAAGAAAATGGCAGAGATGGTTTGGAATGAGTAGCCTTCTTCTCCTGATTGGGCACAGAGGAGGGCTGACTTTGGGATGACTCCGTGGTTCTGATGATTCATCTCAGTGTTTATTGAGCATAGCCAGCATGCTAGGCTCTTGGCTTTTGTTATCAGTCCTTAG